CCCGGGGGCCTGAAAAGAATTGCCCACCTGTGTCGCCTTTCCACGAAATCTGAGAACAGCGACGTTCCTCATTCCCCATATCATGGGTACCCATTTCCAAAGGCTGGGTGAACCCGGAAGCCGCCCGGTTTGAAACCCCAAACCGTGGGCTGCAGCAAGTTGAGCGGAATTTGAAAGCGAGTTTATCGACTACGCTAATGGCCCCCAAGATAGATGATGATACATAGATGGTAAGGTAAAACGATAGATAGGTCGGTAAATAGATAGTAGAATAGATAGGAAAGATAGACAGACAGACAGACAGACAGACGACAGACAGACAGACATACAGACCAGAACAGACGGACAGACAGGACAGACAGACAGACAGCCAGAGAGATAGATAGATAGATAGATAGATAGATAGATAGAAATAGATAGTACTTAGATTAGATCGATACGATAGATCGAATCGATAGAATAGATAGATAGATAGATAGTATAAGATAGATAGCTAGATAGATAGATAGGCTAGATAGATAGACCAAATACTAGACAACTGTACAATAAGGGGCAACAAGTGAACGCCATTTGCAGACCACAAAACAACAAGCAGACAAAAACGATAGGAACTCCGACCATCCAGGTGTGTCTCGCAGCTGTTATCGGTTTCTCGGCTACCCGCTGACGAGGGGACATGTTTGTGGTGACGGCTGCAAGTTCCTAAAGTCACCACAGTGCCGTGGGTCTTCCACGTGTTGGGTATTAAGGAGATTAGCAACGTCTGACGACACTCGGCAGAATACGAAATCAGACAAACGCTAGGAATAAAGCCAGTCTTACAGGTCATCAAAGAACAACATATGAAGTGGTTTCTAACAAGAATGCTCTGGTACTAGTTACCACAGCGAGCCACACTAAAAAGTTACAACGGGTATAGAGCGAGTGGAAGACCTCGGAAATTATGGATTGATGGTATTAAGAACAGCCTTACAGAAATGAACATCAGTCCTAATAGTGCTCTTGACAGATCTCATCAACAAACGTTACATCTGACCCCGACACTTCGCTGAGGTACAAGGTGGAAGAAAAAAAAAGATGAAGAAAAAGAAGAAGGGTAGGAGGAAGAGGGGAGGAGGAGGAGAAGAAGATGGAGAAGAAGATGATGATGATGATGATGATGATGACGTTGATGATGATGACATTCAGAGAGATTTCTCACTAGATCTTTACTAGTCAAGGTTACGGATACTTTTTATTCTTTCATCATCCTTTTCTTCGCCCAGCTACCTCAGTGATGTTTTTGCGTCTGTGTGCTTTAAGTGAAAACCGTAAAGGTGTGAAAGAAATTAAAATAACCATGCCACTGTATTGTAACCTATCAATACTGCTGTCACGGATGTCAAGAGCTGTAACCATGCGAGATCTCGGGGCAGACCAGCGGTATCATCATAGTCACAACATAAAAAGGGAATGTTTGCCTCATTTTCAAAATGAACAAAGTAATTATGCTTCAGCCACTCAAGTTCACCTTTCTCATTATCACATAGCAGGTCTCAGCACAGCCTGCAGGTCCTTTTAAGAACATCGCTCTCATCACAGCCTACAAGTCCTTTTAAGAACATCACTCTTATCACAGCCTGCAGGTCCTTTTAAGAACATCGCTCTCATCACAGCCTGCAGGTCATTTTAAGAACATCGCTCTCATCACAGCCTGCAGGTCCTTTTAAGAACATCGCTCTCATCACAGCCTGCAGGTCCTTTTAAGAACATCACTCTTATCACAGCCTGCAGGTGATTTTAAAGAACATCACTCTTATCACAGCCTGCAGGTCCTTTTAAGAACATCACTCTTATCACAGCCTGCAGGTCCTTTTAAGAACATCGCTCTCATCACAGCCTGCAGGTCCTTTTAAGAACATCACTCTTATCACAGCCTGCAGGTGATTTTAAAGAACATCACTCTTATCACAGCCTGCAGGTGATTTTAAAGAACATCACTCTTATCACAGCCTGCAGGTGATTTTAAGAACATCACTCTTATCACAGCCTGCAGGTGATTTTAAGAACATCACTCTTATCACAGCCTGCAGGTGATTTTAAGAACATCACTCTTATCACAGCCTGCAGGTGATTTTAAGAACATCACTCTTATCACAGTGTGCAGTTCATTTAAAGAACATTACTCTCATCACAGCCTGCCTAAAGAAACTCTGTCTCTCACCACATCCACTTTCCTACCCAAGGTGTCAATTGTATTCTCTGCCCATCTTCTTACTGGTCGGCTCCTGCCCCTCTTTTCTTGCACCAAGCCTTCTGTCACTCTTCTTTCCAATCCGCCTCTCCTGGAAGTGTGAAGGCGAATTTACTGTGAAGGTAAATGCATGATAGTGAAGATGTACTGGCTATAAAAGCATACAGAGCTGAAGAACTTGCTAGAGAGAAACAAAAGACATTTAGGCGTGCAGTGAAGACAGTGACGTTCTGTAAAGGATAGGCTGATTGGCACAACTTTGAGTGATCTGCACTACAGTGCTCTATACATATATATGTTTCCAGACCCATTAACACTCAATGGGTCATGTGATCAACATCACGCCGACCACCTTTACTTCCCTGGCCTTTACCTGCTACTTATTTTAGGCTGGGTTGACCTGGCAGCTTAAGTCATTTTTTCAAAACATATCGAAATTCAGCTCGACGTAGATTTGATCAACTGACCTTAAACCCCCACAAGTTGCAGACTAGCCACTACACCACGACAGTTTCCACACTTAAAAAACAACAAAGAGCAAACATGACTATGACAAGACCACAACACTGAAAATCATACTGATAATATGTGTATTAACATGAATGATCAAATCTACATTAAAGTGAGAAAAAAAATTCGGAAAAGGGGGGGGGGGAATTCGGGGGGTCTAGTTTTCGTCACAACCATCAGAGTAAAATAAGCTCATTGCCAGTTTTCTCTGGTTGTTTTCGGGGACAACCATTAGAGTTTAAAGAGATCACTGCCAGTTTTCTCTGGTTGTTTTCGTGGACAACCATTAGAGTTTAAAGAGTTCATTACCATTTTTCTCAAGAGTACAATGAGCTCTTGACAATAGTCTGCAACATAAGAAAAAATCCCAGGACTGTTCCCAAAAAACGGGGGACGAAAGGTCACCTTGATTTAAATGACATAAAACTCCTCAATTGTGCAACTTAACATTCAAATCACTAACAATTGTGCAACTTAACATTCAAATCACTAACAATTGTGCAACTTAACATTCAAATCACTAACAATTGTGCAACTTAACATTCAAATCACTAACAATTGTGCAACTTAACATTCAAAATCACTAACAATTGTGCAACTTAACATTCAAATCACTAACAATTGTGCAACTTAACATTCAAATCACTAACAATTGTGCAACTTAACATTCAAATCACTAACAATTGTGCAACTTAACATTCAAATCACTAACAATTGTGCAACTTAACATTCAAATCACTAACAATTGTGCAACTTAACATTCAAATCACTAACAATTGTGCAACTTAACATTCAAATCACTAACAATTGTGCAAGTGGACATTCAAATCACTAACAATTGTGCAAGTGGACATTCAAATCACTAACAATTGTGCAAGTGGACATTCAAATCACTAACTGCTGATAGGTCAAATGAACGCTACCAGTCTTAAGCAGTGTGTTCTGTGTGGCTGGTCTTCTCTGCGGATCTAAACTATTGTGTAATGTAAACCCTAAATTTTAATTTTTTTTTACAGTTAATCATATCAATAACTTATTCTTCTTCGGTGTTCGCCAAAGAGGAAGAGGAAGAAGGATGAGAGGGAGGAAGAGGTATGAGGAGAAGAATGAGAAGGAGAAGGAAAAAGGAAGAACGAGGAGGAGAAACAGGAGGAAGAAGAAGGATCAGGAGGAAGAAGAAGGAGGAGTTGGAGGAAGAAGGATGAATAGACAGAAGAAGAAGGAAGATGGAGGAAGAAGAAGAAGGAGGAGAAGATGGGGGGAAGAATAAGGAGAAGGAGGAAGAAGAAGGTAAAGAAGGAAGAAGAAGAAGAACAGCCAACTCAGAACAGGTCTTACAAACAAAAACCAGCTTGCTATGGACTGACCAAGTGCTGGTGCTATAGCAGGAGATAAAAGGCAGCAAAGAGAGGGTTTTCTTGAGCACAGTCTGTCATAAACTTGTGTCTGCCAATGTAGTATTCCTTGGGAATGCTGAGATTCATCTCAAGCTACATCTCTGGATCCAAGACAGAAACATCCTCAGCATCAACATCAAACAGTTTCAGGAAAGACTTCAGAGGGTCAGGTATTGGCAGCGAGTTCACCGTACTTATAATCTCTCGATGCTCCCTGACAGTGATGAGATGGGATCGTAAAACCTAGAAACAGAAATATCCCGGACAAATTTCAGTGTCTGTTCCACGGAGGTTCTCAAGAACAGTCAGAACAGAGCTGAGCTATGAACCAACATTATATCATTTGGAACATTCTCAGAAGGTTCAGTCCCCATCTTCAGCAGCCAGTGCAGAGTTACAATTCTTCTTCCTCTTCTTCTTCTTCTGCACATTGACTGGCTGTAAACTCCAGCTGGGCGTTTGTCCAACCTTGGATTTTAGTCTTGTTCCAGAATCTGAGTGTTACATGCACTTTCGTTTTACAGATATGACTTTTTTTTGTATGCAGGCTGTTGGTTCCTTGCCTCTAAGGCAGATGCACTCTTACTATGAAGGAAGCCCCCAATTAGTCGACTCTTATGACATGCTTGTTTGGGAAGCAGTGGGTCTATACTTGTTTCCTCCCACAAAGGGGCCTCGGCACCCACACAGGGAAGTTCTAATTCTCAGTCTTCTTCTTCACAATCATCGGCAGTAAACTCCGGTAGAAAGTTCTTGGTTGTTCATCCCATTCTGGACTTTGATCCTGTTCCAGAACCTGAGTTTTGTGTGCACATCCATCGTACAGATCTGGCTAATTTGTATGCAGGCTGGTGGTTCCTTGCCCCTCATGCACTTCAACTCTTTAGGAAATGCGCTTTATTAGTTGATTGCTGGGGGAGGGAAGGGGGTCGATGTTCTTCAAAATGCTGGTTCGTGTTTCTCAAAATTCAGCCGCAGAATCTAACTGGGGAAAACAAAATAAAATATCTAACGTAGAATATTTAGGATCTAATTGATTCCCCGTGTGGACTCTAATGGGGAGAAAACAAAAACAGACCCAATGCCTGCCTAAAAGCATGTTGTAAGAGTTGATTAAATGAACGTTTCCTGTGAAGTCGGACTACATCTGCCTGTGAGACAAGGAACCAACAGTCTGCATGCAAATGAGTCAGATCTTCGGAACAGATGTGCATGCGACACTCAATTTCTGGAAAAGACTAGAGTCCAGAAGTGGATGAACAACCAGAACTTTTCACTGGAGTTTAAAGCCGGTAAACGCAAAGAAGAAAGAAGATCAAATTGGTGAATGAAACTCCATGTGTCAACCACCTTTACAAGACCAAATGCCAAAGACATAAGTACACACCCTTAAACTTATAAGACTGCAGGTCACACCTGGCTGGTGTATCTGCTAAGAATACCCTAATTATAACTTCTCTGGAAGTTGAACGAGGTATCCGGGATCTGCCTTTCTGGTCTGCCACCCAGACTAATCAAATTTATCTACAACCTTCTGTTTCATGGACTTTCAATCAATTCTGATACAGACAATTTTTCAGCCACGATGTCAAATTCTCCAGTATCTTCTCTCACTTTCCTTCTGCCTCTCTTCCTCCTCTAACCTTTCTTACTTTCACGATGTATTCCAGTTTTCTCTTTGTCATGATGTGACCAAAGAATGTAGACAGTCTCTTTCTGGTGAAGGTAATCAGTTTTCTTCATGACTCTATTTATGTAATGATATCTTTATTACTCTTTTATCTGCCCATGGTGTTTATATCATTTATAAAACCAAGTCGGCTCTGTGGCTAAGTCGATGCAAACGCTTCGTAATGCCAGGGTGCCGGGTTCGATCCCAGCCACGGGCCATGCGCCTTGCATTTTGACAGAGGTATCAGGGGACCAACCGTCCAAAAAGCAATGGCAAACTACTGGACATAAATTTGCCTAGAGAAACCACACAACAGCCAGGGGCTGCTAGGGTTGGTTCTGCAACGACCTGTAAAGGATACGCAACTAACCTTTTATAAAACCAACTATCCACCACCTCCACGCAATTTTTTAACTAAGTGATTAACTGTCCATGATTCACGCTGATATTTCAGGATGGGAATTATAAAGCTCTCTAGAATTCTCCACCTCACCCCAAACGACGTAAAAAGACAGCATATAATTTTCTTCATATTGTGAAATGCTGATTTTGCTTCAGCTTTTCTAAATTTAATCTGTAAACTTCTTCTTCTGCTCTAGTCCTGTTCTTCCTGTCAGCATCAAGTTTTGAAGAGGCATCAGGTGCAAGCCTTGGTGTGTGTTATGTAGATGTTCATATTAGCGGCCTAGGATATTCTTTCTATCCATAGCGTATGTAGTCTACCTCTAGTTCTGCTTTCATTGTGTCTAACAGGGTTCTCTTTGCTGCACTGTCTGGTGGTAGTCTTGATACATGTCTGAACCATCTGATCTGTTGCCTCTTGATGTAGTTTAGTACTGGTTCCGTCCCAAACAAGGTATGGTGTACACCTTGAGTTGTGAAGGTCCTGGGTTCAAGCCCCGGTAAAGGCTGGGATTTTTTCACGTGGACTTCTAGTAATTTTTCCTAGTCTCTGGGTAGTAGGATCGGATGCCCATGTGTATTCTTGCGCACGTAAAAAAAAAATCCCTTGGCAGTTGGAAATCAAACAGATTAGACTAACAGCGCTGCCTGGGCAAAATTTGGAGTTAAAAATCTACCCAAAGTATTTCAGGATCCTCGCCGGTGCAACGGAGTTCGTGCACTGAGCTGAGATTCTTCTGACTCAGGCTTGAGTTAGAAGTAGAACGGAGCACTTATGGGTTACACATGTGTGCTATGATGTTGATCCATTGTATAAACATTTTAAAAAAACATTTTTTTTTAACTAATATCATCATTTATGGTTCTGTCTCTTCTGTATGATTCATCGCAGATATTTCATTTTTGTTGTTCTGATTTTTCTTTGTAATTTGTAAACTAAATTAACATAAAATTATGGCTAGAAAAACTAACCAAAAGAAAGAAAAAACACTGATATGAGCATAAATGACCAACCTTCCTGCAGCTTGCCAACAAGGATGGGACAGTCTTAAATGATGTGATCATAAATCTGTGAAGTCGATCTTGGGTATCATCCCGACCTGGAAGTACAATCCAAGTCTCCTCGTTCAGGTCCCAGCCAGCTCTGGCCAAATACAAGGCCTCCTTCAGCAACCCAGAGTAAGCCAACCAGAAGAGTGGAGAGTGTCTGAATGTACAAGTATTCAAGAGTGACTGCACATGTACAAGTATTCAAGAGTGTCTGTAAATGTTCAGGTATTTAACAGTGTCTGTAAATGTTCAGGTATTTAAGAGTGTCTGTTAATGTTCATGTATTTAACAGTGTATGTAAATGTTCAGGTATTTAAGAGTGTCTGTGAATGTTCAGGTATTTAAGAGTGTCTGTGAATGTTCAGGTATTTAAGAGTGTCTGTAAATGTTCAGGTATTTGAGAGTGTGTGTAAATGTTCAAGTATTTGAGAGTGTATGTAAATGTTCAAGTATTTGAGAGTGTATGTAAATGTACAAGAATGCTATTTCTTCTTCGAATTCTGTAAACTGTTTTTTTTTAAATATACTCAGGTTGGCATCTGAAAGGTGTATGAAGAAGAAGTGGAAGAGGGAGGATAGGGGTTGAAAGGATAGGAAAATTAAAAAAGGGGGGGTGGGAAGAAAGCGAGTGAGGGCAGGGGGTTGGAAAGAATGAATTAAAACAAGCAGGAGGATTTTGTTTTTTAAAGCGTAAAAGGGGTTTTGGTGGGGGATAAGAAGGAGAATATGAAGCAGAAAGAGAAGGAGAATATGAAGCAGAAAGAGAAGGAGAATATGAAGCAGAAATAGAAGGAGAATATAAAGCAGAAATAGAATGAGAATATGAAGCAGAAATAGAAGGAGAATATGAAGCAGAAATAGAAGGAGAATTTGAAGCAGAAATAGAAGGAGAATATGAAGCAGAAATAGAAGAAGAATATGAAGCAGAGATAGGAGGAGAATATGAAGCAGAAATAGAAGGAGAATATGTAGCAGAAATAAAAAGAAAAATATGTAGCAGAAATAAAAGGAGAATCATCATCATCATCATCAGGTGCCTTGCAGACTGGCGTGGGCGATCAATCCTCTCCATAATCTGCAATCGCCTGCAGCATGTATCAGTTTGATTGCCGACACACCTCCATGCCATGCAACAAGACTGTCAAGCATTTTCTCTCGTTGTCTTCCTCTATCCCTCCTTCCACAGATCATTCCAGTGGTCACAACATGTTCTATTTTCCCTCTTCTCATAACATGGCCGAAAAATGAAAATGATGACTGTCTCCTTCTGATGTCAGTGATAAGTTGTCTTTGGGCTCTCGTCTCTTTCAAAACCTCTTGGTTGCTCTTTTTGGCTGTCCAAGGTATTCTAAGCATTCTTCTGTAAAACCACATTTTTGAGGCCTCTAGAAATTGTTTGGCCTGCCTACCGATTGTCCAGGATTCACAGCCATATGTTAAAACTGGATGTATGTAGCAAGCAAGAATTCTTTTTCTAACTCTCAATGAAAAGGAAATATTGCATAAGATGTTTTTCATTTTATAAAATGCAGTTTTTGCCTGTTCTATTCTGTTTCTTATCTCAGTTATGCATCTTCCATCTGATGTTATCCATGTGCCCAGATACTTAAATTTCTGTACTTGTCCTAAAATAACACCATCGACTTTTATTACATATTTAGGAATGATTCGTTTCTTTGATACCACCATTACTTCTGTCTTCCCATTATTCAAACTGAGGCCCATTCTTCCACTTTCTAACACCACAATGTCTATCATTTCTTGTAGTTCTTTCTGACTTGTTGCTATCAAGACTGTGTCATCAGCATAACGTAAACTGTTTATATTGTGCCCACCAACCACAATTCCAGGCATTATTAATTAAAGATCTCATTATTTATTCACTGTATTTTGGAAAACAAATCAGGTGATAGTACACACCCTTGTCGTACGCCCCTCTTTATGCTTTGAAATGTATCTAAACAGTTGTTAATTCTTATAGCTGCTGTTTGCTGCCAATACATATTCTTTATTATTCGTAGATCTTTCCCATCAATGTTATATTCTTCTAACAGTTTGATTACTTCATGCTTCACACAGTCAAATGTTTTTGTATAGTCTATGAAGCACAAGTACAAATCAGTCTTTACTTCTATAGCTCTTTCTGACAATGTCCTTAGGATGTATATGGCATTGTTCGTACCTTTTCCTTCTACAAATCCACATTGTTCATCGCTGATTTCTGGTTTAATTTTGTTTCTTATTCTTCTCATAATTATTCTCAGTAAAATTTTAGTCACGTGACTCATAAGACTTATTGTGCGATGGTCTTCACATTTTAAAGTGCCTGGTTTCTTTGGCAGAGCTATAAATATGGATTTTAAAAGGTCATTTGGAATTTACCCACTATTATAAATATCATTTAAAAGTTTAGTTATTATTTCAATTCCAAAATTTCCCAGTGCTTCGATTTCTTCCAGTCAGACGTTGTCTGGCCTAGGTGCTTTTACTTTCTTCATATAATGTATTGCATCCTCAACTTCTGCAGTCATTATTGGTGGACCATCATTGTTGGTCTGCAGTTCTACATCTGGTCTATTATCATCATACAATTCCCCTATATACTCTGTCCATCTGTTAATTATATTACTATGTCCCATTAATAAGTCACAATCTTTTGATTTCTTTTATGTGTCATCTTTCCTGTTAACATATTTATCTGTTGGTACATGGAATGTGAGTCTTTCCTGAAGGAAAGAAGGAGAATATGAAGGAGAAATAAAAGGAGAATATAAAGCTGAAATAAAAGAAAAATATGAAGCAGAAATAAAAGGAGACTATGAAGCTGAAATAAAAGGAGAAATAAAAAGAGAATATGAAGCACAAATAAAAAGAGAATATGAAGCACAAATAAAAAGAGAATATGAAGCACAAATAAAAAGAGAATATGAAGCACAAATAAAAGGAGAATATGAAGCACAAATAAAAGGAGAATATGAAGCAGAAATAAAAGCAGAAATAAAAGGAGAATATGAATGAACTACATAATCAACTTTCTCTCAAATTCATTGCTCACATGATTGGTCATATGCAGAGGGACATAAACTGGACACTCACTTGCCCAAAGTGTGCTGGTCAGGGCCTAGCATAGCCCCTGCCTGACACACCAGCTGCAGCCACGGCAGAATCGGTGCCTTCCTGATCACCGAGACCACAATCCCCCGCTGTAGTGGGGTCAAATGTCCACTGTCTCTGACGTCCAAGCGGCCACCTCCTTCGAGCAAAGCTCTTATGATTTCATCAGCTGGGGCACCACCTGAAATGACAGTGGAGTTTAACTCTCTGAGTACGAAGCAACTCATCATGTGTTTATTAGAATCAGTAAGCTACGCTTCTCTCAGGTCGTTGTACCTCATGAGACTTTAGCTTTAACCCTTCTTCTTCTTCTTCTTCTTCATGCTCACCAGCTGTAAACTCCAGAAAAAAATTCTGATTTTTTATCCATTTCTGGATTTTTGTCTTGTTCCAGACTTTGAGTTTTGCATGCACATCCATTTTACAGCTTATTTGTATGCAGGCTACTGGTTCTTAATCTCTCAGACAGATACACTCAGACTTCGAAGAAACCACCCCTAATTAGTTGATTTTTATGACATGCCTGTTATGGAGGCAGTGAATGTATTCTCTTTTCCCTCACAACGGGACCTCAGAACCCGCATGGGGCTCGGTTAATTTATAACATCTTGTTTCCTTTAGACTTCACAATCTAATTCTAAAAACTTATTACTAGACAGTATTTGAGATGTGCCCGGGCGTGTTGTTCTGTGTGAGGAAGCAGAAGTGCACTTTTTAAATGCTGTCTACCTATTCAGTGCAAAGATTATCTGCTGTGATTGTGTAGTTCAACCTGAGGGAAGTTGCACGGAAGTTTCTATGGGGGTGGGGGCGCCTCAAGCACCTAACTGTGAAACTGAGCACATTTGCATTTGTATTGCTAAAGTAACATTCTGAAACTTTATAAAACAAAAACCCAAAGCTGTTTTTGCCGTCAAAATTTTTTTTTTTTAAGTTGGGGGATGGGGGGGGGGGGGAGAGACTTAAATAAATGCAGAGCCAATAATTGGTGTTCTGGTAGTGGGCTCACCCAAGGAATCGTCACGTCCTGCTCATGACTGTTTAACCTCACTTCCATACACTGAACATCTCATTCACCATGGGTTACATCTTTAGAAGCAAGACTAAAGTCTAGAAGAGAGTAAACAACCATAACTTCCCACCGGAGTTTACAGCCCGGTGAATATGAATAACAGCAAAGGAGAATTTTTTTTCTACAAAATGAGCTAAAATGGATACCTAATTTCATGTGAACCAGGTGAAGAGGAGTGTGTCCCTTGGAATCTGGCAGGGTGACATCAGCACCCAGAGCAATCAGGGTGTGAATGGCATCCAGACGACCAAGCGTGATAGCCGACATCAGAGGTGTGTGCAAGGACACTGGTGTTCTCACATTAATGTCAGCCCCAACAGTCACAAAGTAATCAATCAGTTCTACATTTCCCTACAAATAAAAACAAAGAGACAATGAAAAAATCAATCAGCGGTGTGTGATTGGCATTCTCACACCAACAGCAACAAAGTAATTGATAAGTTCTAAGTTTTCCAGGAAAATAACAAGAAAAAAAACCACACACAAAAAATAACTAAGAAAAACCAATCAATCACAGCTGAGTAACAAACAGAATCTATCTAATTCTCTTTCCTGAAAAATAAATAGAAGGAGAGAAAAAAACAATTATACACTTTTTTTAAAAGTGGATAACCACCATGGTGGCTAGATGCTCACCTGCGGATTAAAAGGCCTGTGGGTTCAGGTCCTGATGAAGCCTGATTTTTTCTTTTAAAGACTTTGGCTTCCAGGTCGACCCAGCCTTGAGTGGGTACCAGGTAAGGTCATGGGAAGTTTAGGCGGCCGGTGTGATGTTAACCACATCACCTATTGAGTGCCAATCTTCTTCTTCTTCTTCTTCAGCATTCTAAGCCCTTGAGGTTCATTGCTGCAGATATCACCTGCCTCCATTCATCTCTCTGGTTGGCTTCTTCTTCAGCATTCTAAGCCCTTGAGGTTCATTGCTGCAGATATCACCTGCCTCCATTCATCTCTCTGGTTGGCCTTCTTCTTCAGCATTCTGAGCACTTGAGGTTCATTGCTGCAAATAACACCTGCCTTCATTCATCTCACTGGTTTTTCTTTTTCTTCAGCATTCCGAGCCCTTGAGGTTCATTGCTGCAGATATCACCCAGCTCCATTCATTACTGCAGATATCACCCGTCTCCATTCACCTTTCTGGTTGGCCTTCTTCTTTAGCATTCGAGCCCTTGAGGTTCATTGCTGCAGATATCACTCGCCTCCATTTATCTCTCTGGTTGACCTTCTTCTTCAGCATTCCGAGATTTATTGCTGCAGATATCACCCGCCTTCATTCATCTCTCTGGTTGGCTTTCTCTTTCCAGTTGGTGATACCAAGTGTTTGCAGGTCTGTCTTGACATTATCTCTTTATCTTCTTCTTAATATGCCTATTGAGTGCCAATTGGTCTATAAAATATAGGTTTAACCCTATATGCCCAATAGCCTAAAGGCATAAAAAAGAATCCTTCACTTCATTATAAAAATGTAAGACTTTTAACACTAGAACTGTGTGTAAGGTAACTGGTACCTTCATATCAGTTTACATCTAGGATTTATAAAATTAGATATGAACTATATAAAACTACATAACCCTTGACCTGTTAAGAGTTATGGAGGTGTATCGATGAAAGCACTAACACACAAATGTAGCACAGCTTTGTTTTTTGCATTTGTTGATGTCACACCCAGGTTTGTCTTTAGTTTGCTACAGGAGGAGTTGATTGGAGAATACAGACAAGGTAAAAGATGGTCATGTCGATGGTGGTGGTGATGATGATGTCTTGCTTGCTGCATGCTTCTCACGTGACTGATGCTTGTATTTATAAAATGTCTGGAAACAACTCTACTATATTGTGATACCTCAGTAATGTCACAAGTAACATCAATGATATACTGAATAGCAGCTCTTTTCGCTCTATGGTAACATACTCTTAGGCTCAGATTGTGTTTTTTATCTTTAATTACTTTGTTAACTGGCTCTAGTGTCTGTAACTGCCACCTGGCTTCTAGTGCTGTCTGGTACTAACGGCTTAATCGTCGATTCTAACATCTCAATAGGGTTTCTATCTTATGTATTTTTTGTTAACAATGGATGCATGTATATTGTATGTCGTCTCTGTAGTTCGATGTCTTGTTTCATATCTCTTATCTAGTGTCTATCTTTAGGGCTCCGTGTGTCATGGCTCCTCTGTTTCATCTCCACAACTGCGAGAATCCATGAGACTACTCCCTTGTCCTGTCTCAATGGCTGTAGGTTTCCTTTGAGGGTCAATGTTACTAGTCCCTCCACTTCTAAGTCTAGTTGACTGAAGGATCACCCAAGTGGTTTCTTTCCATTATTTCTACTGAGGTGCTGGAATGCACTGAATGTGTTTTCTAGTCTTCTAGAAATTTCTAGTATGTCTTAACAGGTTTACTATGTGCATTCTCATGTGAGATTTTCTAATTATATCTCCATTACATCATCTTGTTCTGCACCTAAATATACTAATTAAATTGACAGCTAACCTCAGGGAGACTTCCAGAAAGCCAGTACTATTGCATTCACTTTGATAGGGCACGCCAACAATGACATCGTATACTATTTATACATTATTTATTTCCAAAATATTTCTCTGCTTAAAAAAAAAACATAGTTTTAGAAAGGAATGTCAAGATTGCTAAGACCTGTTGACTTTCGTCCCATCAACTAATATGCAATATCCTAACTCCTGACAAACAAGTTATGACGTCTCCTTGTCACATAAAACCCACCATCTTTCTCTGTCTTCCTCTTGTTGAATAAGTGTATGATGACCAAGTCCTGTCTATTTCTGGATGTCCTTTCCTTTGACCTCCCCCCAATGTTCCTTGAAGGACAGTCTTTGCAACTGAATCAAGTCTCACCCCGTGCCTGAACCAAGCTATCTTGCAAACGTTTCACCACTGCTAAAAGAGGTTCCTGATGTCCTGCAAATTTGTTTATTCTGTCTCAGCTATGAGTTGAATTAATTTGCAAACTGACATCACAGCACTCAGAGCATTCCCATAAATGCTCCGCCAACATCTTCAGCAGCCAGCACAGAGTTCCAATACTAATAGTGCAAGTGGCATTCTCATTATAAGCCCATCTTGCTCTTCCTCTGAGCGTTGAGTAAAGGCCAGAACCCCTTGTCACTCCCCGCTCCATCAGTCTCCCCGGACAGTGGTCATCCATTTGTTCCTCAGAATCGTAGATGCTCTCCCACAAGGCTATCTATAACGGACAACAGAGGTGTTGGACCACATGTGGAGGTACATCATGACAGTGGCTCATATTGGTCAAGACCTGCCTCCACCTCCCCGCTGTCATCTCAGGTTAACAGGGGCCTGAACAATGTAGATCATCATCATCATCATCCCGCAACACCATGTGTCGTTGGGTCACCAGTTTCTGTTGACTGTCTGATCAGCTCTCTCCAACTTTAGCAGTCAGTTGCGATGGACTTCATAGCCTAAGACCTGTCCAGTCAGTCAGGTTCTGCAACCAGGTCTTTCTTGCTCTGCCTCTTCTCCTCTTTCCCTCTACTAAGCCCGGTAGTATTATTTTTGAGAGGCCGTTAGATCTGATCACATGTCCATAACATTGCATTTTTCGTCTTTTCACTGTAGTTAAAAGAGGTTCATAGTTGCTAATGTGCTGTATAATTCTTCTTCTTCTTCTTCTTCGCATTCACCAGCTGTACACTCTGGCGGAAAGTTCTAATTGCTCGTCCACTACTGAACTGCAGTCCTGCTCCAGAACCTGAGTCTTGCGTGTGCATCAGTTTTACAGATCTCATTCTCTTGAATACAGACTGTTGGTTCCTTGCCTCTCCGGCAGATGCACTCCGACTTCAAAGGAAGCTCCCCAATTAGTCGACTCTTACGACATGCTTTTTGGTGAGGCAGTGGGTCTATTCTTGTTTTCCCCACAATGGGGCCCCGGAACCCACACGGGGGGGCTGTATAATTATATGGCAACCCTTTTCATTTGTAATGTGGTATCTGTATGATATGCAATGTAGACAGAATCAACATTTCTTTCAAAGTTAACAGCATCTGCCTGACAGACTAGCAACCAATAATCTGCACACAAAACCAATTTACCCTTATGCTAAATAAATGCAACAACCAATCTAACCAATTTACTCTTATACTAACTGAATGCAACAACCACTCTAACCAACTCACCCTTGTACTAAATGAATACAACAATCACTCTAACCAACTTACCCTTAAACTTGCTGATTAAGCAATCACTCTAACCAACTTACCCTTAGACTAAATGAATGCAACAATCACTCTAACCAATTTACCCTTATATTAGATGAATGTCACAATCACCTTAAACAACTAACACTAACCCTTTCTGATTCATCAATCACTCTAACCAACTCGCCGTTATATTAAATGAATGCAACGATCACTCTTACAAACTTATCTGTATGCTGCTCAATACAACAATCACTCTAACCACTTCACCTTTATACTTGTTGATTCAACAATAAATCAAAACAACTTACCCGGAGACTGGCTGAATGCAATGGTGTGTACCCACACTTATCCATAGCACGGAGATTGGCACCCTCATCCACAAGGAGCTTCACCACACTGGTCTGATTTTCCACAATGGCAGAGTGCAGAGGAGTCCGAATATGAGCATCAGTGACCTCCAAGGATGCCCCATAATGGATGAGGATGGAAACGGAGAGCAGGAAACCCTTCTCAGAAGCAATGTGGATTGGGCATTTTCCAAGGAGGTTAGACACGTTTAGCTGTGCTCCACGCTGGCAGAGGTACTCAACCTGAAGTTTGATATGAATCGACAGATTAACAAATGATTAACATGCACAAGAAGTGGGTTGTCTTAAAATATGTTCAACACATACAGAACAGCATTTCCAACTCTTTCCGTCTCATAAGGTTTTGTACAAATATCATTATTTTTTTCATAACAAAGTGCATGAAAATGCTAACAACTTGGTTGAAGGAATAAAAATGAATGAATGAAGCTCCTGTGGTTGCAAGATTTATTTAGTCTACTGTGAACAAAAACTTAAACTGCCATTACCACCTATATTACCACTTCCAAGGTGTAGGCAGGGAGGTCTTGCAAGCTGAGGATTTAACTCTCCGAGTCCCAAGGAACGCATCATACGTTCATAGATTCCTACCTACAAGCCCAATGAACACAAGATGCACTGATTTTACGTCTCTCTTGACCACCCCTTGGGCCTGTGATGCTAAACCCCCTAGGACTCAAAGAGTTAAGGCTGTATGGCTAGGTGCTGTCGCCATAGACTGTGCTGCGCAGGATTTTAGTTTAGCCTCTGACATAAAAAAATATCCCCAACCTCACCAAGGATTCAAACCCAAGTCTCCCACCTGGCAGCCCAGCATTCTAGCCATTCGGCCAGCCATTCCTTAACTTTACTTAAATTTAAGTTTAAAAATAAGTGATGTGATGTTTGAGACGTGCAGAGAATAGCCAGCAACACATCAAACATTGTTTAGGATTGAAAGAGTTAAACAAGTTGAAGAACCGGCTTAAGTGGATGTCAAAGGGAAAAAAAAACCGAAACAATGGAGAATTAAATCCATTTTCTTCTTCTTCAGCATTCCGAGCCTTTGAGGTCCACCACTGAACCTGAGGTTCTTAGCTCAGCACTCAATAGCAGAGACAGGGAAAAGGAGGCTAAATAAATAACATATAACAGATTGTGAATTCAACATTCAATAACAGAGACACGGAAAAGGGGGCTAAATAAATAACATATAACAGATTGTGTATTCAACACTCAATAACAGAGACATGGAAAAAAGGGCTAAATAAATAACATATAACAGATTGTGTATTCAACACTCAATAACAGAGACACGGAAAAGGAGGCTAAATAAATAACATATAACAGATTGTGTATTCAACACTCAAAAACAGAGACACGGAAAAGGAGGCTAAATAAATAACATATAACAGATTGTGTATTCAACACTCAATAACAGAGACACAGAAAAGGAGGCTAAATAAATAACATATAACAGATTGTGTATTCAACACTCAATAACAGAGACACGGAAAAGGGGGCTAAATAAATAACATATAACAGATTGTGTATTCAACATTCAATAACAGAGACACGGAAAAGGAGGCTAAATAAATAACATATAACAGATTGTGTATTCAACACTCAATAACAGAGACACGGAAAAGGGGGCTAAATGAATAACATATAACAGATTGTGTATTCAACACTCAATAACAGAGACACAGAAAAGGAGGCTAAATAAATAACATATAACAGATTGTGTATTCAACATTCAATAACAGAGACATGGAAAAGGGAGCTAAATAAATAACATATAACAGATTGTGTATTCAACACTCAATAACAGAGACACGGAAAAGGGAGCTAAATAAATAACATATAACAGATTGTGCATTCAACACTCAATAACAGAGACACGGAAAAGGGAGCTAAATAAATAACATATAACAGATTGTGTAACACCATATACCATATCTGGCTGGTCAGACTCCACAGCCTTATGCAGCGGTGTGTCCCCTCCTTTGTTCTGCTTGGTGGTGGCATTGATGTCCCCACCGTTATCCAGGAGCACCTGCATCACGTCAATGTGGCTGGTCGTGGCAGTCACGTGCAGGGCGTTCTCTCCTGTCTCTGATCGACATGAGTTGATGTGTGCACACTGTTGAACAAGGAGGCTGGGGACAAAAACATTTTTGCACATCAGAGAAATTATAGATGCAACACCATGATTTGATTACGCAGATTCACTGGGTGGTTTCCAGGGCCCTATATGCGGGTAAAAAGAGGGGGAGGAGGAATGGGAGGGGAAGGGATAGGCCAACTATTTATTAACAAGCAAAAGGATCTTTGGGGTGACTCATGCCGTGACCTCTGCTGTCAGGGAAATGTGAAGGTCAACTTGTCTTTACAAAAGTCATTTGGTTTGCAAGAAAACCTGTCTAAATGCTATTTTTAGTTGATATATCTTTGTCTGGGTCTCCTGAAACCTGTGCAGGCTAAGGAGAATATAACTAGGAAGGCTAAACCAAACAGTCTTAGTCTTTTCTTTGCGTTTTGCGGCTGTAAACTGGTTGTTTGTACACTTCTCGATATTGGTCCTGCTCCTGAACTTGAGGTCTGCCTGCACATCTGTTTTCCCAAATCTGGCTTATTTATATGCAGACTGTTTGTTCACTGCAGATACACTCCGACTCTGAGGGAAATAACCCTAGTCATCTTGAACGACAAGCATGTTAGGGAAGCAATGGGCCCAACTCCTGCAACCAACAATGGGGCCCTTGAATTCACATGGGGAACCACGATCTGATTACACAGATACCCAGCATGGGTTCCAGGCTGCAGTGGGGACTCCTTTGCAAGCATTTAATAAGAGCTGACTTATTACAGATCTGGTGAAACTGGATGTGGTTGTAGCCGAAAAGCACAGATATCATGACATAGCTATAAACCATAATACAGTGTGTTAACTGCCCTTTATAACTCCCCCTCCCCCCCCCCCCCTAAAAAAAACCTGCTAAACATGGGTCATGAATCCACAGAAATTCCTGAGAGAAAAAACTCTTTGTCACTGATAATTTCTTTAAAATATATTTATCTACGCTTTTTGAATTATTTCAGAGAAATATACAGACATAAAAGGAAAAACCATTAAACACAAAGCATGTAAGCATTAAATGGAATACATTCAAAACACACACAAAATAATAAAGAGATTGTATTGAGTGACTTGAGCAGTGACCCCGTGACCTTCGAGGCTCACAGGAAAATATTCAACTTGGCCTTACAGGTACCCTCATCCCTCAACTACCCGTCATAAGATCAGATGCAAGATAAACATAATGGCAGAATACAACAGTTAGGTTTAAAACTGCACATAGCAATGACAAAGATGATAAGAATAAATCATGTAAACAACCCAATAAAAGACTGAAATAGAAAAAGTCGGAACCGTCGAAGAATACTCACGTCACGATGTCTACATGACCTCTAGAACAGGCTAGGTGTAGAGGGCTCCTCCCAAACAAATCGGAGCAGTTACTGATGGCTCCGGCCTTTAGCAGCAGCCTTACACACTCAAGGTGTCCATTCTTGGCTGCATGGTGGATGGCTCGTCTGCCATGCTTGTCCTCAAAGGCCATCCGAGGATTAAGAGCCAGGATTTTGGCTAGCACTGCGGTGTTACCTCTGATAGATGCCAGAATTGCACAGTGGTTGATGTCCAGGGGTGACCTAAACACAATCCAGAATTTAAGGCATTTGTAAACTAAATTTAAAAATCACTCATTCATACATACAAAATCTGTATATCAGAGCTGGCATTTGCAGATGATAATGTGGCCCTGATAGATAAATCAGAGGCATATCTTCAATCCAACTTACTTGTCTGGAAGGAAGAGCTTGAGAAGAGAGGGATGACCATCAGTATATCCAAAACAAAAAACCATGGTGATCTCAAGAGAGGAAAAGAAACACCATTTCATGATGGGATAGTATGCACTGGAGCAGGTCAACCAGTTCAAATACCTTGGAGCTGTAATAGACCGAAATAGAGACATTAAGACAGAGCTGGCTACTCAAAAAGCAGCCGCTGGGAGACTCTTCCAGGCCATAAACCGAGCGTTTCTTAGCAAAAGAAAGACTGGCAAGAGGATGAAAATGGCTGTTTACTGCTCTATCCAAATGCCAAACCTGACCTACAGATGGAGGTCATGGGCAATGACAACAGCTCACAGAAGCCAGCTTCAGGCTTAAGAAATGAAATATCTGAGAAAGTTGGTCCAAGTGACAAGAAAGGACAAAGTTCACAATCAGACAATACATCAAAATCTCAAAACTCAGGCCTTAAAAACTCCAGTGGATCAGTCACAGTTATGATAAAATCGGCCACCGTGGCAGGCATGGGAGGCTAAAAACTAGGGAACCAGACCTCCAGGGCGACCCAGGGTCCGCTGGGAAGACAACATCCGAGAGTACATGACTGACAGAGGACTGGAAGGGAATAAAGCGAGAAAGGGAAACTGCTGACAGAGAAGTCTGCTGACCTCTTTGACAAACCTCGATGCCCCAAGGCATACGAGGATCGACTAAGTAAGAAAGTAGTAAGCATAAATACACACATAAAGAATAACAACAACACAAATATGATAAGATGAAGAAGAAATGCAGGTCAGTAGAATTTCTGGTCTGCTACACACAGGAAGGGGGTCGACCGTCCAGAAAGCAATGGCAAACTACTGGACGTAACTTTGCCTAGAGAAACCACACAACAGCCAGGGGCTGCTGGGGCTGGTTCTGCAACATCCTGTAAATGATACACAACTAGCCAACAAACAGGAATGAATGAACATTATCAAAGGCTAACCTATGAAAAATTAACACCTGTGAAATGACATGCTTGAGGAAAGCTGCCAACTTAGCCATCCAAGAAACTGAAAAATTATACTACCAGACAGACTGCGGGAATATGAGAAACAGAAGATCAAATAGTTTAGTGATTTTGCTAGAATGCAGCCAGAAGAACTACCAACACAAGTGCTACGCATGAGAAGATCTAATGTGGTAGCAAGGGGTCACCATAGGAGAAATGGATTGAGCAATATCGACACAGAATGACAATAACCATTGCTACCTGTCAAGCAACGGATCCCAAACTGCTCCTTCCCACAACACTTACAGACAAAAGTAGAAATTCATGATGAGTTACATTAATGGTATGCATAAAAAAAAGGTAACGTATAGACACCTTTTCACGCATTTAGGCGCATCAGGCAGATGGGAAGAGCACCCATATTTTTACAGACCAATCGACACTAGGTGGGTAATGTGGTCAACATTACAACGGCCGTCTTTACTTCCCCAGGACATACAGCCTGGTACCCATTTTAGGCTGGGTCGACCTGCAACGCCCCATACAATGATAAAAATCTACACAACCAGCAGCAATGGTAAGCATGACAGATTACTAATCTCTGCTTTGCCTTTTGGTGCCAGCCAGACATTAGAACCAGCCAATTCTATTCCAAGTCTAGAACGCTCTTCTTCTGCCTTTTATCCCCCAACGAAGCAAAGGCCCTCAACCAACTGATGCCAAGACGTTCTATCTTTCGCTACTGCATTCAGCTCCCCCTTCATCTTCTGCATCTGTTTAACTTCACTCTCTAGCTCCTGTCTCCATGTATTTTTTGGTCTGCCTTTATTTCTATGACCTTGTAGGTTTCAGTGCAAAGACATTCTATATAATTGTTCTCAAGTTTTCTCAATGGGTGCCCTTTCCAACATCAGACTAGGGCTTTACTATAAAATATTTCCAACAAATGTTAGTAGGTACACTGTAGCCAACTTGGCAATGAACACGACTGAAAAAAAAAAATTTACATTCCATTGTAGTTTCACTGATCCATCAATTATGAAGTCTGCCTTCTGCAGTATTTCCTCCTTTTTACTTCCCTGTGTAGAGTTAACTATTTCAGGACAAGTACAGAAAGACCTCCCGAACCCCTCTCGAGTATATGGTAGGACCCCTATGCCCACCCTTGAATATACTGCAAGACCCTCCCCCCATTCCCCACATAACAAAATGTGACTAAAAAGAGGAGGTCAACAGATTCTGCAACAAGTGAAACAGAAAGTATGGAGACACATTTTGGTCAGAATGTGTTACTAATCTATAAATTCCTGTGTTATTAAATTATTTAGATGTTTAACTGTAGATACACAAAGTGCTTGAATGAATGTTGAATTAAGTATCTATATCACTAGCACTCGGGACAACCCCGTAAGCGCTCAGTACCCATCTTAAAAAAACCCAGACAAAATGTAACAGACTTTTTAATTAAATAGTTTTTAGGATTTTGCTTTATTTTATTATTAATTAAACTGGAATTAAAAAGAATATAAAGGATTATTATAAATACAAAAGCACTCAGTTTCAAAACATGCCCCCCCCCCCTCCCCCTGAAACCTCCTCGCAGGCACCCATTCCTGGTTGGAGACCACCAGTGTAGAGTTATGAAGAATTATCTGGATAAAGTGTTTGTGTTGAACTCACAGATGAAAAATATTCACTGTTTCAGCCATTCTAACGGAAAGGTTGAAACTGAACTCTTCTTCATCTGCATTTGCGCTTAAAAAAGCCATTCACACATTGTGTTGTTGTTTACAGTTAGGCTGTGATATAAGCACCTTTTGACGCAAAACACTTTCTTCTTCTTCTTGGCGTTCGGTTACGAATGCTCAGGTCTGACCATCAGGTGGGTTGCCTCTATAAACTCGTATGTCACCTGCAGGTCCTTCATGGTTCCCCATAGTGTGCTCTGCACACTTAGCTCTTGAGGACAGATTTCTTTTAGAAGTTGTAGGTAGAGTGGGCAGGCCTGTAGAATGTGCTCATGTATTTGCAGTCCTGTCTGACATGCAAAGTGTGGGGATTGTATAGTGTTTATTTTATGCATGTGGTAGTTGAGCCTGCAGTGTCCTGTTTTAAGTTGGAAAATATATGTGTCTACAGCACTAAAACCAAACTCAGGATAGACAAAACACGCGTTAGGACAGTTCTCCTCTATTGTGTAGAAACTTGGAAAACAGACAGAAAGTTAGGGAGCATGCTCAGATGTTTTGAGAAAAGACTTCTCAGAAGCTTGTTTGGGTTCATATGGGAAGATAAAACCAGCAATTCTAGATTACAACAAATGCCAGACTTAGAACATGTGAATTTAGAAATCAAAAAATGAAGACGGAGGTCATGTCCTCAGAATAAAGAAAGAGAGATGGCCGAGACAGGCAATGCAATGGACACCACAAGGACAGTGAGCAAGAGGCAGGCTCAGTTGAACATGGAGTAGACCTTTGAGTCTGAACTCAAGGCTACAGAAAGGAGAAAGCTGGAGACAGAGAGGATGGCTCAGAATCGAACTGCGTGGTGACAGTTTGTCTCTGCCTTATGTGCCTATGTGCATGATGAGGATTGATTGATTGCTTTCTGTTGAGTCTGCTGATGGGGGTCTTACAGAAGTTATTGTTGGTTTGTTCTCTCCACAATTCCTTGTATTTTCCGCGATTTCAACAAACTCTTCATTAGTTGCCTTCTGCTACATGTGTATTAAGCTGCAATGGGTCTTTTCCCCAAACGGGGCCCTGAAATCGACAAGGAGAAGAAACTACAATTACCTGGGGTCTTGTAACTTCATCTGTATTAGCTTATCAATGACATCCATATGGCCACTGTCCATCCCCTGAACAAATGTCACCAGAAACTCATCAAGGTTTTCCATATTGATGTCATCTTCGGATGCCATTCTGTTTCGGAGTGTACTTCTGTGGGACAAAAAAGAAATCAGACATACATTCCGAACTGTACTTGTGTGGGCCTAAAAAAAGAAATAAGAAATACAGTATGCACCAATAAAATGCACAAACATAATCTCCAGGATTTTCATACGTTTATTAACTTTACCTTGATTACTGTTTCTTTTTCTTATCGCTCACCAGCGGTAAACTCCAGCGCACACTAGCAATTCTGGCTGTTTGATCACTTCTGGACTTTTGTGGTTTTGTTCCAGTTTTGCGTGCACACCCATTTTACAGATCTATCTTATTTGTAAGCAGACAGTTGGTTCCTCACCTCTCAGGCAGACTTCTAAGGAAATGCCCCTAATTAGTTGCCTTTAATGACATGCTTACTGGGGAGAAAGGCACAGGCAGTCCATTCTTATTTTCCTATAACCAGGGCTCAGGTACCAATCGGGGAGATTAATGCTTCATATATGGAAGGGATTTATTAATGTTATTCAAGACATTTATAACTTTTTATAAGCATTATAAGGAAAATATTAAAGTAACTGAAAGGCCACACAAATGATAAACTATAGTAGCTAGAAAACAAGTAGCTGGGATATTAATATTAGCTAAACGGGGATGAGGAAGAAAGGGGGTGCAGAACGAGCAAACAGAAAAAGAAGGGGAGGAGAGAGAAGAAGGTTGAAGATAAGCAAGCAAGGAAGAGGAAAAACTACAAAACTAAAAACAGTACTTTCCCAAACTAAAACTACGATAGCAAAAACAAGTAAGTTTCTTTGTAGTTTAAAAATCAAATTCACACAAAACTACAGACTATAAGGGATTTTCATTTTAGTTTAGATGGTTTTCGTTTTGACTTTTACTGTTTTACTAAAAAAATTTTTTTAGTTCAGTTCAGTCCATCAAGTATCCCGAAAAGCTATTTATTTAAATAGGCCAAATGTACTAATATGCGGTCTACTCATGTGTTAACTAGCCTAGACGTTCGTTTACCTGAAACCGTTCCTCCTATTAAATATTAAAAATACAAACAACGAACAAATATCAAGTCACTGTGAATGTCAACAACAGCAAAGACTGCGCCATTGTTATTTGAAACAGCTGTTTCCGGTTAAAATCATCAAAAAAATGCGAGACAAATAGCCACGGAGTTATTAAATTATAAAGAGCAAAATTATAAAAGTAAAAAAAGCGATATGTCCTTGTAAACTAAATTGTGATAAAAACATTCGTCTTTTTCAGAATTTATAGCCCTTGAGGTTCATTTTGGAATAAATTTTGACGTCACATTACATCATTCAGGACAAGCCTCAGTTAACTCTTCCTTCCTCGAAAGCCAACGAACAGTTTAAACAAACACACACAATTTTCGTGATTCACAGTTTCCACAGGACCATCTTCAGTTATGCTAAACCATAATCCACGATTTGGAGTCATGTGTCTAACTAAAATTGCACACCAGGCCTGGCTAGCTCAGTCGGTAGAGCATGAGACTCTTAATCTCAGGGTCGTGGGTTCGAGCCCCACGTTGGGCGAATTTTTTTATTTTTATTTTAACCGGGACAATGAAAGAAAGTTTTTTTCCCATCTTGGTCTCCAAAACTGCAGTACATGTAGTAGTAATTCCACGGAGGAGAGAACACAACATGATGCTTTCGTCTTTCAGTTTCTCTTGGTTGCCGTCCTTTCCTAGAATTACCAACGTCCCATTTCGATGCATTTCCAGTTAAGGTTCCTTTTCCATGCCTTTAGGCGTAATGCATGCTTCATGCAGAGTGGCATGCTTCGCTGCAGAGGACAAGGGTGGGATGTATTGTCTGAACAGGCAGACTGATTGGCTGGCTATGCACAGCTTGGTGGAATACTGATATATGATAAGGCAGACGTGGTTAGTGCCTTGTGGGAGAGCGTGTACAGTTCGGAGGAGCAGAAGGATCACCACAGTCTGGTGAGATTGATGTAGGGGGTGGGGGTGGATACGAGAGGTTCTGGCAGATGTTCGAGCTCAGAGGAAAGCCAAGACGGACGTTTAATCAGAATGCTACTGGCACCATTAGTATTGAAACTCTTCGCTGGCTGCTGAAGATAGGGACGGAGCGCTTATGGGAATGTCCCGAGTGCTGTGTTGTCGGCTCTTGAATCAAACTAATCAAATCATAGGCGTAAGCGTAATAGGAATATAGGGCTAGACCTATATATTTTATATACCAATCTGCACCTGGCGGGTGAAGTGGTCAGCATTACGCTGGCCGTCTTTACTTTCCCAGGACATGCATGCTGGTGCCCATTTAGGCTGGGTCGACCTGCGACACCCAATACCATGATAGCAATCCACGCAGTCAGTAGTGGGTTTCGATTGCTGCCCGTTGGAATTACGAGTCGGACTCGCAACATAATTTTTTAATTTTTTTTTTAGTAAATAAATTTGTAGAGGGTGTGGTGGCTGGCCCGTGAGTAAGGGCCCGAGTTAGATAGAGGTCGGAGCGTCCTAGACCAGATCTTCTTAGCGCTACCGCCACCCTAGCACCCTTTCGGAGTGAGGGGTGAAATTAGAGAGTGGTCTTGTTTGATTAATGTGCTTATAAAGGCTCTGTTGCGGCAACGTTTACTTTCCATTTGTGTTCGTCATATTGTGAAGCTCGCTAATCTTTTTTTCTTTCTGTTTTAAATCTTTCCATTAAATTTTTATAGTTTCACCGAAGTTCACTGATGTCACCAACCACGTCTGTCCCACCCTTCCAGAACTGCTGCTATCTGTTTGTGCCCGTTCAGACTTGTCTGTACTGAGCTCTATTGTTTAACATCATTTATTATTATTATTATTTTTTTTTTTGGTGTGCATAATTTTTTATTTCTTTTTCAACGTGGCTGCATCGGGATACATCATTTAGGTGATCTTGTGTATTCGTATGGTTTCATTTGCTTCAAGTGATGTTGAATTAAGAATCGACATAATAGCACTAGGGACACCCCCATAAGCGCTCCGTCCTCATCCTCAGCAGCAAACGAAGAGTTCTAATTCTGATGGCATCAGTAACTGTCTGATTGTACATCCGTCTCGCCACTTTTACTGACTGTCACAGCAAATGAACGAAATGCACAATAACCTGGCTGCCAGTGTGACTTTTGAATTAAACTTTGTAGATATTATTATTGTCAACTGAACATTTAACGTGAATATTCGTCACCTTTTGTGAGTAGCTGTCCTAAATCCTCAGGCGCAACCCCCCCCCCCCACACACACACACACACACACACGCGTTGTAAATATAAGCAGCAGTTGGCAGATTTGGGCAGTATCGATGTCTTTTCGATTACCCTCTTCAAACACTTCACCTTTAAACTGCATTCTGAAAGACTGCTCCTGCGAGCTTTTCTTAGAATGAATACCGCAAGCCTGGCTAGCTCAGTCGGTAGAGCATGAGACTCTTAATCTCAGGGTCGTGGGTTCGAGCCCCACGTTGGGCGCTTTTTTGTTTTTATTTCTAAATCTTGGATGAAATGTGACTTGCTTTCAAATTAGATTTCTTTATGAAAATCTATATATGACCTTTGTTCAAATTTATTTTAATAGATCACAAACAAGAAGTGCTGACCACAGAAAAGATAGTGTTCAAATATAGTGAGTACAGCAACAGTAACGGGAAATGAATGGCATCTTTCCCTCTTTCAAGACGATAGATTCACACTGCTCTACATGAAAACATGGGAATCACAACTGGCAACACATGGCGATCCTGAGCGTGACTAGAAATACCGCCTTACTTTGAGAAAAGACTTTCACAATTAGATTATGTTGAATGTTGGATTAAGAATCGACCTCACAGCACTCTTGGACACCCCCACAAGCGCTCCGTCCCCCATCTTCAGCAGCACACGAAGAGTTCCCATTCCAATAGCACCAGTAACTGTCTGATTGTATATCCGTCTTGCTCTTCCCGTCAGTGTTGAGCGTCGGCCAGATCCCTTGGTAACTCCTCACAGCGCCATTCTCCCCAGACCGTAATGATGTGCTTCCACGATGTTCACTTGCTTCCAGCGGGCTCTTACAAAGTCTAGCTTATCATAAATGAATTCCCCACGAAGTGGTGCAGGACCGGCAAGTCTATCTATCTGCTAATTTCCCAGCACACCAGCATAACCTAGAGAGAATATCCAAAGGATATTAACTACCCGGGACCTCTGAAGTGATGTTTGCCGCTCTGCACGGAGCATACCCATCTCCACAATATAGATCATGAGATTCTAGAACTATTGTTGCCATAGCATGTATTTTCTTCTTTTTCTTCTTTGCGTTCGGTTTCGTATGCTCAGGTCAGACTGTTAGGTGGACTGTCTCTATGAACTCGCATGTCAGCAGCAAGGTCATTTATAGTTCCCCATAGCTTGCTCTGCACACTTTGCTCTTGAGGCCAAGTTTCTTTTCGAATTTGTAGGTAGAGTTGGCAGACCTGCCGAACATGCTAAGGTGTTTGTTGCCCCGTCTGACATGCACGCTGTATGGACTATACAGTCTTTTTTTTTTGGGGGGGGGGGGGGGGGCATGTTGTAGTTAAACCTGCAGTGTCCTGTTCTTGGACGGGAAATTGTTGTATGTTGTTTTCTGTTGAGTTTGCTGATGGGGTCTTTTGGATGTTTTCTGTTGGTTTGTTCTGCCCACAATTTCTTGCACTTTCAATTGGTAAGTGTTTTGTTTCATGGTAATGACAATAATGGGTGTGTTATTTTCCCTTTGTTGCATTTTGGCAAGTCTGCCCGCCAACTCGTTTCCTGCTATTCCACAGTGAACCAGGATCCACTGGAGAACGATTTGACTGTTTTCTGAGAGTCTGTTTAGCTGGCAGGTCAGTTCTTTCTCCACATTGTCTAGTGAGTCCCTTTGAGTCGCCTGGAGGACTGACAGGAAAGCAATTTTACTGTTTTTAATTTTACTTTCCCCATGAACTTGATTATTCTCCTTGATTTTATCCTTAGGGGAAACTTCTTCAAAGATGCCGTCGGTATTTGTTACTCTTCTATATATAGATTACTTAATGGGATGTCCCGTTTCCAGCTCAACATATTAGCAGGATGCCCGGTTTTCAAGATATTATGGTCACCCTACTTCCAATGGGTTAATTACGTTATTCTACGTCTTGGTCCACCATGAGTTAACCGTTAAAACTTGTCCAACTAACGTGACCTTTGACCCCTATCCCAGAGTTCCCCACGGGTGTCTGGTAGTTGAGCAAGGAGAGAACGGTTTCCGGAATTGGTCCGGAACGGAATCGCCGCAAAAATCTCAAAGTTGCAGCTGAAAATGGATGTACTTCTGCTCTTCCTCCTTGCTGGATTACCTCTGGCATCAGGTCTGCAGCGGGAGCACAGTGTCCCATGTTATGACGAGCAAAACCGACCGCAGAGGTGCCAACCGCCGTTTGTGAACGCCGCTTTTGGGAGGATCGTGGATGCGACCAACACTTGTGGAATGAATGGACCCCAGGAGTACTGCCTGCAGACCGGGGTCACCGGTGCCAAGAAGTCCTGCTATATTTGCGATAATAGGGATCCCGACAGGCGGCACCCGGCTTCGTATTTGTCGGATTTTAATAATTTGACAAGGTGGACGTGGTGGCAGAGTGAAACGATGTTGGAAGGGATTCAGTATCCAACGGTGGTTAATCTGACTCTTCATCTCAGTAAGTAGTTCAAACTAGTTGACTGTGTAATTTATAAATATTGTTTCCTGTGTGGGTTCTGGGGCCCCACCCCACCCACTGTTTGGGGGTGGGAGTTAACTCACTGCCCCCAAAAACATGTCGTACAAGGCGTCTAAGGATGCATCCTTGGAAGTCGGAGTGCATCTTCCAAAGAGTCAATGAACCAACAGTCTGCATTCAAATAAGCCAGTTTTGTGAAACCGATGTGGATGTGCAGGCAAAACTCAAGCTCTCTTTGTCAGATTGTAATAATTTGTCATGGTGGCAGAGTGAAACGATGTTGAGAGGGATACAGTATCCAACGGTAGTTAATCTGACTGTACATTTTAGTAAGTAGTTGAAGTTGATTATGAAATTTATAATTATTGTTCCCCATGTGGGTTCCAGGTCCATATTTTGACGAAGAAAGAGTAGACACCCCCTTCCCTCACCTGCAATAAGCATAGCGTTAACTCATTTGGGCTGAGATAGTTGATACTTGGAACTACTCTATACTCATTGTTTCTTTAACCTTCTCCTCCACGTGTGGTTATAAGTTTTGTTTTTCCATGCGATAAAATCTTAACCCTTTTGCCTCGGTGACCTAGAACAAGAACCCATATTTTTAGAATTTCATGTTTTCCGAAGAAAAAACTTTCTAATATTTAGCTAAAAAAAAAAAAAAAAAAAAAAAAAAAGAACGCACCATTTTACACCAATTCCTAAACATTTTATTGTCGGATATAAACAAAAATTGTACACTGATGAAATGGGGTGATCAGTAAACACAAAAGCAGCAGAGAATCAAATAAATTTAAAATCATGACTCATTGTTGACTCTGTGACCAGGCCACTGTGATTAATGGGTAATCGTGACGTCATAATTTCTTTAAATAAAGCCAGTTTATCACACAAATAACACCCACAAATACTTTTCAAAAATTTTTTAAAGAGTGACTATACCCATTATAGAAAAGATAATGTCAGGAATAAAGAAATTAGAAGACTAGGACTGAAACCAGTCATACAGTTAATTAAAGAACAAGAATTGAGATTGTTTGGCCAACTGATGAGAATACTCTGGTACTAACTGCCACAGAGAGCCACGCTGAAGAAATATATTGAACACAGTGCAAGGGGAAGACCACACAAGAGATGGAGTGACACCGTCAGGAGCAACCTAAAAGAAATTAACACCAGCTTTGCATTTGAAAAAGGGCACAGATGAACCTTAATTTTCTCCCAACACCTCGCTGAGGTAAATGGTGTAAGAAGAGGAGGAAGAGGAGAAGTAAAGAAGAAGAAGAAGAACTATAGCCATTGATGGACCTATTTAACATTTGCGCAGGTTTAGTCAGAAGAGTGTTCTTAGCGAGGATCCTAAGATGTGCTGGTTTGGGTGCTTCTCAGTTTTAGTGCTTCTCAGTTTTGGTGCTTCTCAGTTTTGGTGCTTCTCAGTTTTGGTGCTTCTCAGTTTTAGTGCTTCTCAGTTTTGGTGCTTCTTAGTTTTTGGTGCTTCTCAGTTTTGGGGCTTCTCAGTTTTGGTCTTCTCAGTTTTGATGCTTCTCAGTTTTGGTGCTTCTCAGTTTTAGTGCCTCTCAGTTTTTGGTGCTTCTCAGTTTTGACGCTTCTCAGTTTTGGTCTTCTCAGTTTTGGTGCTTCTCAGTACGTAACACATCCCTGCTGAGACCATAGTTTTGTTCATGTTACCTGGTTGTTCTTCTCGTGCGAGTTCATGTTAATGAGGTTTTACTGTGGAACACTGGAACCAGCAGGGGAAAAAAAGAAGTGGGAGACTTAAACAAAAAAAGAAGAGAATTGGAGACAGAAGAGTCAGTTAATCGAATGATCATAGTTCCAACATAGCAAAAGGATCATCCTTTCATTGCTCCGTTTCTGTGCCAACTAAAACCACACAGAATGTCTATCAGGGTCTTTTGTGGAAAGAAAATTGACACAGACTGCAGTCTTAGAAAACCCAGCAGCATATATGCTGAACGTAAAATTGCCAAGTGAAATCGCAAACAGCCAAAACATGCTGGAATTGGTTATGCTATGTCCTGTAACGGGTACACAACTAACTTTTTTCCCCGTGTGGGCTCCAGATCTTCAGTTTGGAGGGACAAAGAATAAGCTCACTGTCCCCTAACAAGTACGTCATTAACAAAAGTGATGAATTACTCTTGCAGAAATTAAGTGTGTTGGGCTCAAGGACGTAGATATCGCAGCCCAGCTGTAAACAACACATTGTACCAACTGCTATTTTAAGGGCGAACTTAGAAGAAGAAGAAGAAAGTGCCTAAGTGTGGCACTGGTTGCATATGCAGTTCTTGTCACATATATATATATATATATATATATATATATATATATATATATATATATATATATATATATATATATATATATACATATACATCACACACACACACACACACATATATATATATATATAAAATCATGTGCCCTGCTAACTGGCGTAGGCGCTCATTCGTCTCCACAAATCACATTTTATATATATATATATATATATAGCTATATTACCATGTTGGGAATCGAACCTGACACCTCCAGATGCTGTGTGAGCCTCGCTAAGGAAACAAGTGTACTAAGAACATGACCATCTAGGCACCCTAAAATGGTGTCTTATTATGGTACAGCCTGAAATCCACAACTATGGAATACGGACAGAATTCATCTCAAACCATTGAAATGGCACCATAGGATGCAGAAAATTATATTAACCTAGCGTAAGTCGAATAACAAACACAACACCATTACAAACATATCGGACCGTAACCCTCTGTCTAGAATACAACACACATTTAAGAAAGAGATTTGATTGGTTACTTCCATTTTGTTACATGTAATTCCTATAAACCCTTGAGGCCGTAGAAATATTATATATATATATATATATATATATATATATATATATATATATATATATATATATATATATATATATATATATATATATATATATATATATATATATATATATATATTGCTTGCTACATACATCCAGTTTTATCATATGGCTGTGAGTCATAGACAGTCTGTAGGCGGGCCAAACAATTTCTCAAGGTGCCAGAGATGTGGTTTTATAGAAGAATGTTTAAAATACCTTAAACAGCCAAAAAGAGCAACCAAGAGGTTTTGAAGGAGGCAGGAGCCCGAAGACAACTTATCACAGACATCAGAAGGAGACATTCATCATTTTTTGGCCATGTTATGAGAAGAGGGAAAATAGAACATGTTGTGACCACTGGAAAGATCTGTAGAAGGATGGATAGAGGAAGACAATGAGAGAAGATTCTTGACAGTCTTGTTGCAAGTCATGGAGGTGTGTCGGCACACGAACTGATACATGCTGCAGAAGATCGCATTTTGTGGAGAGGCATGATCGTCATTGCCAGTCGGCAAGGCACATGATGATGATGATATATATATTTATATATAAGTTCTTGTCAGTGCTGTAAAATTTGATGGTGTACAATTGAAAAAAAAAAAAATCAGTAGTACTTTATAGAGCAGAAATGTGGAGAACAGCTAAAACAATTACTAACCAACCACTGAACACACAGTTACTGTGAGCTTGAATTAAACACTTCAGACATGAACTCGTTAAGTGGGTGAAGGAAGAGAGTGAGAGGAGAGATTGAAGAGGCACTTCCTATGTGTCTGAATTGATAATTGTTCTCTTCCTTAGCCACTTCTCACTTCAGATATTCTAGTTCGAGTTTCTTCTTACCTGTTGGTAACACCCAGTTTGTGATGTGTGTTGGGTTTTAGTTCATTCAGCTCAGCCAATAGAAAAGAAAAGAAATTGGAGGCCGTTTTACCCTTTCATCGAGAGAAGCCAAAAAACTGACCCTTCCGGTTGGGTCAAATTCCTTGTAAATGTAACTTTACTGACTTGTCTATAGTGACCTGTTTATGAGACAGGTAGTTAATGCTGTTGGTTATGTTTGCACCTGCACAGACGTTTATGAGGTCAGGATATAAATACATTTACTAACAAAAGCATTTAAAGGGTTTTCTTTTTTTAAGTGGCTTTTTTAAAAGCCAAGTTGATGTCAAATTTTCTCATAAACCTCAGTGGGTAGAGGTCATGAGGCCATAGCATAAGTGACCAGGTTTTTTTTCCAAGGCTGCGTGTGGATGTATTCCATTTCATGCTTCACCCTGTTAGTGTTTATATATATATATATATATATATATATATATATATATATATATATATATATATATATATATATATATATATATATATATATATATATATATATATATATATATTTATATATATATAAGGGTTGTACCGAATATTCGCTTCATATTTGCTTTGGGGCTGAAAAGTGTACCTAATAACTATTTGGTATTCAGCCGAATAGTTGTGGTCGGGCCGAATACGAATAGTGGTTACCTTACACCCGTTTCTGGACTGGTGGAAAATAATCAAATCAAGATTTCCCACCTTGGTTCATACTGTCAAGCGTTATCTTTGTGCACTACATACGAGCGTACCAAGAGAACGTCTGTTTAGTACAGCTGGAAATACCTTCAGTGAGACAAGAAGCTGCCTTAATGCTGACAACATGGAACGAAGATCACTTTCATGGATTAACTTAGCTGTCAGTGACAATTTACAAGTTTAGTTACTTGTTATAAAACTAAGAATGCTTTCATTCCTTGGTATTAGTTACCACAGACTGACTGACTAGGATGCAAAACATGAAATGTTTTTAAATGTTTACTATTCTGTACTACATTTTGTTAAGTAAAATTTCAGCGTAGATTTGAAATTATGGATGTTTTTTGTCTTTTTAGATCTATTTTATACACTATTCAAAAGCGGAAGAATGGGCCTCAGTTTGAATAGTGGGAAGACAGAAATAATGGTGATATTAAAGAAAAGAATTATTCATAAATGTGTAATAAAAGTCAAAGGTTTTTATTTTGGGACAAGTACAGAAATTTAAGTATCTGGGCACATGGATAACATCAAATGGAAGATGCATTACTGAAATAAGAAACAGAACATCTCATGCAATATATCTTTGTCATTGAAGGTTAAAAGAAAAGAATTCTTGCTTGCTACATACATCCAGTTTTAACATTTGGCTGTGAGTCCTGGACAATCGGTAGGCAGGCCTAACAATTGTTTGAGGCCTCAGAGATGTGGTTTTACAAAACAATGCTTAAAATACCTTGGACAGCCCCAAAAAAAAAAAAAAAAAAGCAACCAAGAGGTTTTGAAAGAGTTGGGAGCCCGAAGACAGCTACTCACAGACACCAGAAGGAGACAGTCATAATTTTTCGGCCATGTTATAAGATGAGGGAAAATGGAACATGTGGTGACCACTGGAAAGATCTGTGGAAGGAGGGTTAGAGGAAGACAACAAGAGAAGATTCTTGACAATCTTGTTGCATGGCATAGAGGTGTGTCAGCACATGAACTAATACATACTGCAGGAGATCGCAGATTGTGGCGAGACATAATCGCCCATGCCAGTCGGAAAAGCACCTGATGATGATGATTCACTGTTCGTATTCATATTCGGCCGAATAGTTGGTCCATCTATTCGTAAATGGCCGAATAGTGAAAATCACTATTCAGTACAGCCCTATATATATATATATATATATATATATATAATTACATTTTTAACGAACTTAGTGTCCTGTTTAAAAATTGTTAAAATTTTTACGAATATTTGTTTAAAACTTCTAACATGGTCATCTTGTGTGTGTGTGTGTGTGTGTGTGTATGTATGGCCAAAGGGCTAATAAGCACATTTGATCATGGTATAGGAGCTGAAATTGCATAGAGGCTAGATGCTTACTGGCCTAGGGTTCAAATCCCCTTTGAGGCATTTTGTTTTTGGAAACCCTGTTGACCCTGCCTAAATGGGCACCAGGGTAGAGGATGAAAGAGAGGCCTACATAAGTTATCGCAAAAGAGCTATGAGTTTCTCTACTTTTTGCCTTTTGATAGAGACTGAGCATATCTAGGCATGTCCTTAGTTCCCTGACATCACATGTCCCTAGTTCCCTGACATCAGTGTTAGATGACAGTTTAAATTTGAGTCTTTCTTTGTTAATATAATTGCTGGTATTGTCAAATGTTGCAATTTTCAGAGAAAGCATTTGACATCACGTACGTCAACCTGCGCTTCTACTCACCCCGACCAGAAAGCTTTGCCATCTACAAGCGAACCACTGAGGACGGGGAATGGATACCATACCAGTTCTACAGCGCCTCTTGCGAGAAGACCTACAATCTGCCTCGGCGAGGGGTCATCACTGCCAGCAACGAGAATCAGGCCATCTGCACCAATGAGTTCAGTGATATCAGTCCGCTCACCGGTGGCAGCGTGGCGTTTAGTACCCTTGAGGGTCGGCCGAGCATGTTCAAGTTTAACGAAAGCCCCCAACTGCAGGTGAGGTTCTGTTGTTGTACTGTAATTTCCTGTTTGGCTTCCTGGGCCCTATTTTAGAGGGGGGGGGGGGGGGGGAATAGACCCACTGCCCACCCAAAAGCATGTCGTAAGAGTGCATCTGCCCGAGAGGCAAGGAACCAGCAGTCTGCATACAGATGAGTCAGATCTGTAAAATGGATGCACACACAACACTCAGGTTCTGGAACAGTTCTGCATTTCAACAGTGGATGAACATTCAAAACTTTTTGCCAGAGTTTAAAGCCGGTGAATGGGAAGAAGAAGTTGTACTGGTTGTCTTCTTTTGTTTCATCCCTGAAAGAGTACTGGCAGTTTACAGCTGTGCTGCAGTGTCTACACCTTTCGGCCCTACACGTCAGCTTTCTGCAAAATCCTGATTCGTCGCCTTTTACAAAGTGCTTGTTAGAGGACAGAGAGTCAATTATTTTATGTCCACCACTGATCCTTGTGTGCTTTATTAATATTCTACCCCAAACAGGGGAAATCCACAGGTCACGGGACAGTCTAATATTTCAGGGGGTGGTAGATAGGCTGCATGCAGTCGTGGGACCTAGACGGCTTATATTTGTGGGACCTAGGCTGCACTCCCTTGTGGGACGTAGGTGGGTTGGGGTTAGGGCCAGTTCTAGATGTTTTGGGGTTGTTAAAAGCACCAGAAAGCCGGGAAAAACAGTCTTACCACCCTCTAAAATGTCAGACTGTCCTGTGACGTCAGCTGGGGTAGGATAATAATAAAGAACCTAAAATGCTTGTCAGAGGGCAGGCAGTTTTTATATGTCCATCACTGATCCTTGTAAAATGATTGCCACAGATTGTAGTCTCAGAAAAGCATGCATTAAATGTATAAAGCAGCTGTCGGAAGTTCCAACTCAAATAGTTTGACGCTAGAAATGCAGTTTACATTTGATTTAAGCAGCAGTCACAAAAAGTCAGTAGTTGCACATGCAGGTAATCACATAAGGCACCACAAGTTCTCTGGCATCAACCACTCACCATTTAATGCAGTGCACCGTACAACCATGTGGTGCACAGCTGAAAAGCATTGCAATTGAAATAGGCAGCTCAGGGTGTTGTGTCAAGCACTCCATTCAGTAGTGGGGTGACAGAACTATATCCCTTTAATTAACATAAGGAGGAAAATGCAACAGCCTCCATTCATCAGAAGCATAGGCTTGCCGTGACCAAAAACAGTACGCCCTCTTATTTGCCATATTGACCGGAAGACGTCTGAAGATTTTTGGATAATTAGTTTCATGTGAACTGAATAGGGGCATTGGGGAACATTAATTCTTCTTCTTCTTCCTCACGTCCTTTTTTTAACCACATGAGGTGTCGAGCAAGACCATTTGATTTGCTGTCTTGTATGTAATTTAGAATTGATTCTGTGCCGACTTTATCACGTATGACCTCGTTACTGATTTTATCTCTTCTGGTCACTCCTACAGTCTTTCTCAGATACCTAATTTCCATGGTTACTAATTTTCTTGTATGTTTTGTTGTGGTGACCACGTCAGTGCTTTGTATGAGTTCTTTCTGTGTGCTGATTGGGATAGCCTTATGCTGTAAGAGGGTGGCTAGCTGTCCCAATATTACGGAGAACATTATGTCAGCAGGAAAGATTAGTAGCGCAAGTTACTGAGTGAGGTTTGCAAACTGCTTCCTGTTGGTCTCTAAAGGCTCCAGCCTGTTTTGAGTGGGGTGCTTAGTATAGGAAAGTGAAACAGTCATGTGCAGGACAAGGCACATCTTTGAAACAGACCAGGCACTGTTATTAGCTACGTGTTTAGTGAAGCCTCCTTTAATTGGGGAAATACTCATTTTATGCCAGTACCTTCTCTTGAAGGTTGATCGTGTTGTTGTCCACTTCTGGACTCTAGTCTTTTTTCAGAACCTGAAATTTGTCTGCTTATCTGTTTTACAGATCCTTTTAATTTGTATGCAGACTGTTCCTGACCTCTCCTCGGACTTAAAGAAAACACCCTTAATTATCGCCTTTTAGGACATTTTTGTTACGGGGGCAGTGGGTCTGTTCAGTTTCCCCCAAAATGGGACCCAGGAGCCCGCATAAGGAAAAATAAGCCAGACTGCAGTCACTGATTTTTATATCTTCAATAGCATACATCTGCTTATCATCATATCTCTAATACAGAAGAGTGTTCCCATCACACCCTGTAGAGATTAGATTACTCTTTCTCCTTTGTCAGCTTCTCCTGCCTTGTGCAGCTACACCCAGAGATTGTCTTGAATGCCCTATGTGCTTTTTCTCCGTGTTGTGTAGTGTGGCACAAAACATTTTAGTTTCTGAAAGATGATATTGTTTATGTACCAGAATTTACCCGTCACTGGTTTAAAACTGTGCTTGCATATCCTACACGGTGGGTTGTCGAACCAACCCCAGAATTTTGTGGCCGTTTGTGATTTTTCCAGTCAGTTTTGTGTCCAATTGTTTGTCATTACTTCATAAACAGTCGACTTCGATACCACTGTCGAAGTCAAGGTAAAGTGGGCTGCAGCCAAATCTCCTGCAGCTGGAATTGAACAGGGCACTTTGGAATTATGAAGAACGCTCACAGTGCCGAAACCACAAACACTGATCAATCATTGGTACATGCACAGAATCGAAGGAATTAAACAAATGTTCACTCTGATGTCACGCGGGCATATGGTGGTGAGACTGATATTTTTAATAGACCTATCGGGCCTGGATACGTTATTTGTTCAGTGTCATGCCGACCACCTTTACCTCCCAGGACTGTACCTGCTACCCATAAAGGAATTAAATAACAGGAGGGAATCACTGATGTAGAAATTTAGGAGAGAACTAAACAAATTAAAAGATGACTAATAAAGAGTTTGCTTGTGTGTTGGGCCAAGAGGCATAAATATTGCAGCCTAGCTGTAAAGCACAACACAATGTGCCAGTCATCTTTTAAAGGGTGAATACAGAAGAAGAAGGTGATGGAAAGAGGTGGTGTTGGATGGACACACATTTGAAAAAACATTCAGTTTTCCTGGGCACATCATACAAAAGGGAAAACTGGAGTATGCCGCAATAGCAGGAACGTTAGAGGCGAAGAGTGACGGGGGAAATACCACCAGAGAAGACGTCTGGCGTCTCTGATGTCACAGAGCGGAGGAACATCTGTGCCAAACATGGTTGGCTGTCAGCTTGTCAGGCTGTGGACGGATGGCCTTGGTGGTCGACTTTTGCTGTAAACTTCTGCGGAAAGTTCTGGTTGTTCGTCCACTTCTGGACTTTAGTCTTGGTCCAGAACTTTTTTTTTGGGTGCGCTTTCGTGGTAACATATGTTGCTTATTTGTATGCAGACAGCTGTTTCCTCGATCTCAGGCAGAGTTAGAAGGAAACATTCCTGTTGACATTTCCTCACCCCCACACCACTGCGTACCCCGAGAGAGTGCAGCCTGTGTCCCAAGAGAGAGTGCAGCCTATGCCCAGTTCCGCATGTTTCGGGACCGTTAAAAGCGTCACATCCTGTAATATAGAACACGCAGTATCGCCGGTCAGTGGCAACAACTAGTAAAACGATGCGTGTTGTTGTTCTACAGATCTAAAAACTGCACTCGTGAATTGACCGGCGTCGCCGTAAAACAAACCCACACCCTTCATAACGCGATGAAAACGGCTTGTTGTTGGCCGGTCACTAAGCTTGACACCCCTGTAAAAAAGGACAAGCCCTGCGACACGGCATTTTCTGAATTGGAAGGGAATTCACTCTCTTTCTGTGCCCGAAAAAAAGTGAGTTGTAATAGACAGAGGCATACTTTAACAAAGTGGTTCTCAGTCTACATGATGCCGCGACCCTTCAGTACAGTTCCTTATGTTGTGGCCAGCCTTTAATACAGTTCTTCATGTTGTGGCGACCTCCAACCAAACAATTATTTTCGTCGCTTCTTCATAACTTCAATGAATATTTGTTTTGCGATGGTCTTTTTGGCGACCCATGTGAAAGGGTCGCTCGACCCAAAAGCGGGTCGCGACCCATAGGTTGAGAACCGCTGCTCTAGCATGACTCAGAAATTCAACAGGTTCCTCTAGGTGCCTGTTTTAGAATCACTGATCATTTAAAATAAAAGCAAAAATGGTGGGGGGTGGGGGGGGGGGGCGTTGACGCCAGGGGAAACAGGCTAGAGCAAACCTCTCATTCTCCTCCCTAATTTAGACAAAGCGAGAAGTAATGCGGGAGGAACTCCGGGGTGAAAGTTTAGTGGAGCGGTTCCTTGTAGCATGAGTACGGTAGTTCATGTACATGTTTTGACGTAGGTAAGATCGTAAGCTCATTAGACTGGAGAACGTCAGCCCGTGGGAACACGTTAGCTATAGTGTACGCACTTTTATATGTTTTACGGTACTTGTGACTGTCGGGAAATTCCGGATATGAAACGTAGAAGTGTTTCCGCGGTACAGTTGGAAAAAAAAAAAGGGGGGGGGGAGGAGAAAGAGATGAATACACACATGTATACATTACTTATACATACATACACACATACATACACACATACATTGCGAAGTGGTCAAGCCGTTTTCATCGCGTTATGAAGGGTGTGGGTTCGTTTTACGGCGGCGCCGGTCAATTCACGAGTGCAATTTTTAAGGAGATCTGTAGAACAACAACACGCATCATTTTACTAGTTGTTGCCACCGACCGGCGATACTGCGTGTTCTATATTACAGGATGTGACGTTTTCAGCGGTCCCGAAACATGCGGAACTGGTCGTAGGTGCCCTTTGGGAGATATCTCCACCATTTTCTCTCATTACACTCTCTTTCAACTGTTGGCTCATCTGGTCCTCCGCCACTCCATCTCTCTCATCCTGGTCGCACCCTCTTACAAGTTACTCTTATTTATGCTTTTGTTCCGGGCCCTATTCGGGTGGACGGAGGGTGGATATCACACTAAATGTCTTATTTGAAAAACTAGGGAAAAACCACGGCCATCTTGAGGATATATGCAGTCGGACGT